TAGATAGGCAACATGCGAAAAGAAGAAAAAAAAAGACATGAGAAAAACATTGCTTTATAAACCTTGAGACTTAATAACAAAAATTTATATTTTGCATATGAAAGCATTGTAATGTTTACTGATAATCTGCCAAATTGCGTTTATATTCACTAACTAATTTAAAAGTTATAGCACGAAAACTATAACAAAATGGTGAGAGAGTTAACAGCTTTTTACTTATATATGTTACTGGAAACGGTCCATCTTCGTGTTCTTGTCAGAATACTGCCCCAATTCCAATGTCTGAAGCATCAGCCTGAACAGTGAATGGTTCATTAAAGTCTGGCATTCTAAGAATTGGTGAGCTTCCCAACATTTTCTTTAACTTTTGGAATGCCGCCTGGTGTGGTTGTTCCCACTTCACCTTGTTGGGCAAGCCCTTCTTGGTCAGGTCAGTCAATGGTGGGCTAGGTTGTTTTCAAAAATCGACCTCAGTAAAGGTTATTGGCAAATCCCGATGGAGACGGGATCTAAAGAGAAAACAGCATTTGTGACACCAGATGTATGTTACCAATTTAAACGGGCACCATTTGGGTTAGTCAATTCAGCAGCAACATTCAACCGCATGATGAGGAAGAGCTGCACGACACCACCAACATCAAGCACTATGTGGATGACATTCTGACACACACTGCAAAATGGGAAGACCATCTGAAGAGTGTTAGACAACTGTTCCAGTGAGTGAGGGCAGCAGGTACACCAGCTCCAACGACCAATCAGCAAGTCAGATTCTTCCTGGGGTTAGCGAGATACTACAGGAAATTCATCCCAAATTATGCTGAATTTACTGCCATCTAGTTTTGACATGATGGCCTCTGGGTTGCCCACAGGTTCAGAGTCTATCTTTGTCACGAGGTTCAGCTTCCAGGGGTCTATGCAGAAACAGTTTGATCCGTCCCTCTTCTTCACGATTACAACTGGTGAACAGTAGGCTGAATTTGAAGGCTCGATGATTCCAGCTTCCAACACTGCCTCAACTTCCTGCTTTATCAAATCTCTCATTGCATAAGGCATCTGATAAGGCTTCATTTTGACTGGATCCCTGGTTGTGGTCTCGATCTTATGTTTGCACAATATCTGTCTTTCCCGATTTATCCATGAAGATAACTGCATATTGGCACAGTAGGTTTTGTAATTCTATAGTTTACTTGCCAGTCAGTTCCTCGCTGATGTTTACATGTTTCATCTCCACCTAGTGGTCTTAGGTCTAGTAGTTCCTCATCTTCTAAGACAAAGTCACTGTCTTCTAGTGCTGCATCTATGATGGCCACACTTGCAACATCTATCTCTGTTTCAATAGCTGCACCAGTTAGGTCTTCTCTCCCAAAATACTTCAACAGATTGGCATGGTTGATCTTGATCTTCCCATTCACCTTGTAGTCCATTATGTTGAGTACTTCCTGTACTTCAAAAGGTCCTTTCCATTGTAGGATGAGTTTGTTGTGGTCTGTAGGCAGCAGAACTAAGACCTTTTGTCCAACCTCAAAATGTTGATCCTTGGTCTTCTTGTCATAAAAATGCATCTGACTACCTTGAGCTGCATACAAACTCTGTGGAGCGAGTTGACAGGTTTCTTCCAATCAGTTTCTGAGGTCTAACACATACTGATATGTGTTCCTTACTTCTGACTCTTCTTCTTTTGTCCATAGGTCTTTCATTATTTGCATCGGACCTCATGCTGTTCTTCCAAACAGTATGTTGGAAGGGTGAAAATCTTGTACTTGCTTGTGGGACTTCTCAATAAGCGAATATATGATACTGCCTGCAAGTACCTGTCCCAGTCATGTGGTCTCTCTTGGCACATCTTCTTTAGCATACTCTTTAAAACTCCACTGACTCTCTCACAAAGTCCATTACATTTAGGATTGAAGGGGTAGTAAAGAGTTGCTGAGTACTGATGAGTCTGCACACTTCCTGCATCAGTTCTGAAGTAAACTGGGTCGTTCTATCACTCAGGATTTCTCTCAGAAAGCCTGCTCTGCAAAATATCTCCAGGAGGACTTCTGCTACTCTCTCTGTCTCTATCTTAACCAGTGCTATTGCTTCTGGGTAATGTGTCGCATAGTTGACTACTATTAGAACATACCGGTTGCCCTTGTCAGATACAAGTGCTAGTGGCCTGATCAAGTCCACAGCTACTCTGCTGAATGGTTCTTCTATGAGAATCATCTCCTCCAGTGGCACTTTGACTACCTTCCTTCTAAGTATTGTCCTTTGGCAGATGTCACATGACCTGCATAACCTACTCACATATCCGATGACTCCCGGTCAATGGAAGTTACTGGTGATTCTGTCTGCCATTTTCTTTGTTCCTAGGTGTCTTCTCCCACAATTGAATCATGAGCCAACTTCATCACTTGAGTCCGGTATTCTGTTGGTACTATGATCTGTTTAACTTTCCCAGTATAACTGTCTAGATAGATTCAGTATAGAACTCCCTTCTGGTTCTCTATTCTATAAGTATCTTTCCCCTTTGTTTTGTGCTCAACTTTCTTTTGGGCATTGTCCCAAAATTTCTGCAGTGGAGGGTCTTTCTATTGTGCTTCCTTTAATTCTGGCAAACCCAAATTTGGGATATCGCCTTTTGACACTTGCAGGGGCTTGATGTCTTGTTTGCTTTTCTTTTCCTGAGCTCTGGTAGTGACTGCAGATGCTTCGTCAATCTT